CGGCTCTGTCTTGTTCTCTGGGCCACGGCCGGCGTCCGCTGGCGCACCAATAAGGACCACTTCTAAATTGTCCACGCTTTCGTGGTGCGGTTCGGGGGGCCGATACTTCGGCTCTTGGAATTAGCCCGGCGATCGCCTCCCTAATTAACGGGACAGGTGTGACATCAAGTTACTTTATTAAATCTCAAGAATGTTGTTTCTAACACAGACAATGAGCCGTTACATTTACCTTTCTTTCCGTTATTACATCAAGAAGTTCATAATGTTGCTTTTTCCCACCCCCTATATTATTATATTTTGTACTGATAGAAAATGAACATTATTATTATTACTATTACTATATTACTATTACTATAACTGAAAATTAATTTCCTAAACTGATGTTTTCCACAAAGCAGCACCCTAAAACTATCATGGCATTGTGTTTGCCACTAACTTCCACTGTGTGTGTGAAAACGATGTGAGGGCGGCCTGAACATAGAGCCTTCCACGTCACCCTGGCATGGGAGGCCCTGTGTTGGCAATGCAGGCTAAGTAGACTGTCACACGAAGCTATGGCTGACTGTCAATGTGCAAAGAAAGGTAGAACAAAGGTAGCAGTTATGCAAGCAGAACAAGCAAGAAAGTTGCAAGTGGATGATAGCAATCTGTTGCATAAATCATGGAACAGCAAAACCAACCACTGTAACGTTGCTGGGACAGCATTTGCAAAAATAACAAACCTTTGCCCCCCCCCCCTCCCCCCCCCCAGCACAATCTGGTACCAAAACAGGGATGGTGAGTGCTGTGTCCGTTCTTTAGAGCACAAGCGCAGCAAGCAGTTTTGTCAAATGAAATCAGGGTCGCAACAAAGGTGGCGAGATACTTTGATGCACAAGCGTACTAAAAAAATGGTTTTCTAAGATGAAATCGCTGCCTAGCTAGTTTTGTTAATTTGAATTGATGACAACATTGGGCCCTACGAATACCTGCCAGAGAATTGCCATTTCTTTGCTAGATTGGTAACCTCGTAAAATCTGGTTCTGTTACCGTTACTGACCGATGGAAGCCAGCAGTCATTTTTTGGGAAAAAAAAAGAAAAAAAAACATGCTTGTCCCCTTAAGCAGGCCTTTGTTGTAGCACTGTAATGCACGTAATTTATCGATGAAAGCTTTCTGCTGAGCTCCTAAATAAGATTCGTATATTTTTACTGGTGCAAAAACATGTGCGTCCACGTGTAAACACACTGTAGAGCAAAGCGTCGTCAGCCACTAATCTTTCTTGACAAGACTTGTCGACTGTCCCACGTTTTATGGTGAACAGAATGAGAGAAAAAAAATCATATGCGTATGAGGTGCAAACGGTGGTACTAAGTAATTGCCCAGATATGTGCGATTTCTACTATCTTTCTTCCTCTCTTTTTTTTTTTGTAGTATGCAGATCGCAAAGATGTAAGTTAAGTCACTCTAAAGCAGTGCGTAGCAGGCGGAACACGAGCTAACTTATTGCAAATTGTATCAGATCTGTGACGAGTGGAAGCCAGTAACAAAAGACCGTTTATTCAAACAAGGAACGCGTATATATAGTATGCAGCATGATAACCACGTGTCGTCATTATCTAAGATTAGTTTCGTTGACACTGGTGCATGCGTGCGCATAGCTTACAAGCATTGCTCGATCGATACAGCAAAGGCGTTATTTAGTGTAAAAGCATGAAGAGAGTCACCCAGGGCGAGCATATGCCTATGAAAGACAGTATGCGCTTTACTCGCAGGTAGCGTTAACGTTGCATAGGCGTCGTACACCTATACTGTAGAGAAGATCGTAGATATTAACAGTAAGTAGTAGTCAACGCATTTTATCCCTCGACAATCGGCTCTGACCGCACGCAACGGAGCGCCGATGCGTGTATTTTTAAACGCATTGCCGACCGCTTATCCACACTTGCACTGGGACAGAGCTGTCACCTATAGCCGGACCTTGCCACGAATACAAATCACGCTTGTTGACTCAATTCTTCCATTTTCTGGCTTTATTTTTCTTCATTGTTAGTTATTGTTATGAATCTTACACTGCTCACTGATTGTCAGTGCTTTTAAATCATAATTTATTTACCATTTTCTGTGAGAGAAAAACAAAACATGCACACCTTCACTGTGGCTTCTGCAGGAAGACCACAAGTTTGGCATAATTGGCAGAGCTCTAGGAGGCACTCCTCATAAATAATAAACTTCCTGTAAGCACAAGCCTCACGTAATAACCTGTAATTGAAGAGTTTTCATACTAAATACGCGGCCTTTCACATTATTATTATTCACCTGTCTTTAAAAAAAACACTTGTGCTGAACACCACCAGTGGCCACTGTTTTTTAAATCCAAAAAAATTACCCCAATGCCATATAGTGTTTGAATGGTTGCAGCCTTTCATGAAGAATATGCAAGGTACGACATTTCTTCTCCGTGATGCATAAGCATTAAAATCACGTTCCCACTTTTCTACGGCTTCAACAGAGCTACTCTAGGTTAGTAGTTAAGTACAGCTAGCTTTGAAGCAGCATAAACATTTAGGCCAGAAGGTATCGTTTGATTGAATGAATCGGTGGCACAACAGTGTGTGAGGCCCTTTTCACAAACATTCCTGCATGTTGCAGGATGGTCAAACTGGTCATTGTGTGAAAATGCGCGTGCAAGAGCAGAACACTAAGTACTAGTGAAAATTCCCATTTAGCCATACACTGGAGCTTGTGCAAATCTATACCTTTGTTTTGTGACAGCAACACCATTTTTTCAGCATCAGAAAAGGCAGGCATGTAACATCATGAAAGAGCTTCACAATAAAAAAACTGGTGATATGTGCATCAGTGCCAGATCTATCAGTTTCTCACGCAAGGACATATCCTTTTTAGTGTTGTAAATTTTCTAACAGTTATGTACATGGTATTCTGCTCCTGGTACTTGTGGTTCTACATTTTTTTTGGTTGGGTAATGTTTATGGTGGGTGTCGTCTTGGTCAGTTATATCATAGAAACTATCGTGAGTAGCGCAACTAAACAGAACACACAGCAAGTATCAGGTGAGCACAGGCACACACTAACAATTGATTTTATCGAAGGCAAATCCACACCTTTATACATCAACAAGCTGCACATGTGCACCACCACAACAACCAATATACATAAAAAATGAAGCAAGGCGTGAAAAAAAAATAAACTTTTAGCACTGTGCAGTGCAATAGAAGTGCCGCTTTTGCACTTCTTACCAAGTTTCCTAATAAAAAATGCTTCAATGTTTCGCAAGCAGTTGTCTGTCTACTTCTACCTAGGATTTCGGCTCATTCTAAAATGCTAAATCAGCTCATTCATAGACCATAAAGAGAGGCATCGTTGTGGTTCTCTACATGCACAAGGTCACATATAGCCTGAAAAGAGTGGCTAGTAGGTTGAACATGCCATTGGTTTTCTTGGCTGTTGTGGTGGTATTTGTTTTTGTGATGGTAAGCCTGTGCATCTTGTTGATCTATGATGGAGTGGATTTGCCTTCAATAAAATCAGTTAGTGTGTACACACCTGTTCCTTCATGTGTGTCCTGTTTAGTTGTGCTACTCAAGATGATGTGGTGTTTATGTGAAAACACCAACTCGTTCAACAGTCCACTATTTTACAGTTAGATCACCTCTTATACATTCTGGTGATGCACAGTAAGCTCGGTATTTTTCTACTTACGTGCGGTTTTTTTAAACACAATTTTATTTGGGAGTATGCCCAATGGTCCTTTTCTATTCTTTTCATTGTCTGTATTAATGTTGTACTACACATTTATGAAATGGAGTTGGTTTTCAATGTAGGCATCACAAGCAACAAGTAGCACCCAGAAAGATTATCTTGAAGTGTTGGTTTGTGTTAAGCTAATTAACTGGTTTCTTAGTATATGTATTAAAATGTAGAGTAGCTTGCACAGTTGCAAAGAATTCAACAATCACCTGTACACCTCGGGGAATTCCAAATTCAGTCTTTCATGCTGGCAGTTGCAGCATAATTAAATTACATGCATTTCCCACAGGACTGTGAAACTTGCTGACACTTTGCTTCACAGCCACATGAACAAAGCGATTGTAGCATCACTTACACTTCAGAGCTGTTCCCACTCAGGCTCATAGGTCTCGTCCTAGGAATCATCCTTGTACGTTAGAGATGGCTCTGAAAATGGCTCCGAACACACAAGCAGTGGCTCTCGGCGTGGCCAGGAGGTCCTCTGACGGATTTCTTCCGACAATAAAATTTCTGGAAGCTCCAGGTCTGTCTGACATCCTGGAAGCACAACAAAAATACTGGCACTAAGCCTGAATATATTATATAAAAGCCCATAGTGCTTATATGAAGCAAAAGGTGCAATGAAAATAGTGAACTATGATATACATACCGACACAGAAGTACCATAATAATAACATGCGGGGTTTTGTTAGCCGAAACAACAATATGATTACGGGGAGGGAGGATAAGCTTCAAAATCCACAAATCCCTGATGATGAATTACCCTGCACTTAATTCTGAGGAAATGGGCCTCTAGCATTTTACCTTTAGAGCTGCAATGATGATGCTGTAAAAACTGTTCATTCAGTTAATACAGCCAGTAATGAGACCAAGTGAACATTCCTGTTTACACGTATGTGACAGCAAAAGAAATAAAAAGGTAGCAAGACAAGCAAATTGTGCAAAGTTATAGTGTTACAAGAGCTCAGCCCAACAGTTGCAGGAAAGTTATAGTTACAAGAAGCCAGATAAAAAGTTCATGCTTTTAAGCACAAGAAATGAACAAACAGATGGGCAGAATGCAAAACACGACATCTGATGCGTTGTAGAGAATACATAGGACAGCCACTCTTGCCGTGTTCTCTTCATTTCTTCATGATAAGCAGTCAATACACACACAGGTACTGCTCAAAGCTACAAACATTTCCAGGGAATGTATAATCACTGAAATTTCAGAAATACTAGCCTTTTCCACGGCTGGAACACCGTGATTACTCACCGACATTGCTAATTGTTGGCCTTGTCTGAACGCCTGTTGAACTTGATGCGTGTTTGTGAGACACCTGTGTATACTTCTCTTCAACATCGCATTGTGTGTGGACATTTGCAACGTGACAGCCTGTACAAAATAGGTGAAATGCTGGCATTTCATAGCAGCTTTGGTTGAATAATTTACTCAGCAGTGATTACTCAGCAGTGATTAATCTCAATGATTACTAAAAACAAAGATACAATCAAATTTTTTATATGAAATGACGATTTTTTATATATTGCCTAGTGTTCTCGCTGGCCCCGTTAGAATTTCAATCTGGAAACAAATCAGTTCAATAATGTTTCATGCATGGTAGTGAGCATTCCATAGGAAATACTTGGTGAACAATGTTTCCAGCTGATATCAACTGCACAAGAGAACAAAAGTTACATTTATGCCCATTTATACGCCGTACTTGCCATGCCAAAAAAAATCACTCAGTTCCGCATGCTCCGGCGCACCGCAGAATTCACAAAAAAGGAATAAACCCAAGAAACGTACCCTATCGTCATAAAATAGACGCGATTTGCCTTCAGAACAAGATAGCTGGCTATCCCTTGCCAAGAAGCACAGAAGTGGTAGCTAAGGCTACTTTCAGACGAGTGGAATATAAAGCACACCTGAAATTGTAGTGACATTGTCGCTGACTGCGCAATGGTCAGTCGACAGTTGTACAGGGATGTCAGGCTCGTGCCCTCTGTCCGAGCACGTCTGCGTGGAAAAAAATTACGGCATATTCACGGGGTGAATGATGATGAATGGGCGAAGCTCTGGAGGGATTCATCGGTAAACTGTGAATCTTCCGTGTAATTCGCCCAGTTGATCATCATGTAAAGACGTGAGAAACGCTGTGTGTGTATATACACAAATCAACTTTTATTTGTTCTTAGACGATGGATGGCTTGCGATGTCCCTTGCCTCGCGCGCTCGCACATCGGGATTCTGTCTGCGAGCGCGCGCTGCTGCCGCCTTGCGCTCTCTCCGCTGTGCAGCCTTATCCATCCGGCGACTCCGAGCGCGCGCCAACAGCGAACGGTTTTTATTACAACGCTCCCCCTAGCGTACGTCGCCGCACTAAATCGAACGATTGCCTTCAACCAATGGCACGCGCCATATGTGACATCATTCCTATTTTATAAGATCTCGCGTCTTTCATCAACTACAAGTACCGCTTTCTAGTTTATAACATCTTGCATCTTTTCATCATCAGCTACAAGTACCACCATCTAGTAAACACTACAAGAACTAAACGAGAGCTGGCTACATACAGGAGACGGTACCGCCATCTAGTGAACACTGCAAGAACTAAACTAGAGGTGGCTACATACAGGGGACGGTACCGCCATCTAGTGAACACTGCAAGAACTAAACTAGAGGTGGCTACATACAGGCTACAGGGGACGCACAGCCCACGCCCTAAGGAGCTTCGCCCCTAAAAGACACATCATTCGCTGCACTCTTGGATTGCATGTAAGCTGTGCGTACGAACCTCGGGTCGCGGTCGCTTAGGCAGTCTCGTATCACTCTGCCCAGGAGCGGGGAATCTGTGGATTACGACCTTCTTTCTGTGAACGTGACGAATGCCCGGTACAGCATCAGACTTGAGGATTGCAATAGGTTTTTTCGGACGACCCGTGTCCGCCAAGTCCAGTGTCGTTGGCATGAAACATTGGGCCTCGAAATGTAGCCCACAAGTACGACTGTTCTGCACGGGATCCCAGTTCACATGTCCACACGCGCGCACGAAATCGATCCACTTCTGCCGCCGTGGCCCTTCGCGGGGAAAGGCATGTAGCGATACGCCTGATCCGCTCTTCGACGGACAGGTAAAAACAGCGCAGACGGCTTTCGGCATTGGCGTGCGACTGCAGCCCCGACAGCATAACGAAATAAAGAAGTCCTTACGAACAGCAAACCGGAACGCAGTCTAACCAAACCCAAAACTTTCAATGCGTGCGCTGATGCAACGGACTAGCGAGCAGCCGCCGAACAGTCTGCTGTAGCGCACACGGCGGGAAAACAAAAATGGCGGCTACGACGACACCATAACTTGTTGCGGCGTAGTCACGTGGCACGGAAGTAGAGGGTCACCTCGGGGTCATCTTCGAAGATGTCTATCGCTCACGCAAATTTCATAATTGATTTAAAATACCTTGCAAGCTATATTGGCTGTTAATATCTTGCAGATGATACACTAATGTTCTCGAGAATCAACCCCGCAGGCTATCTCGGCGCCAAAATTTTCTATCAGTACCCCTTTAAGCAAAATTTTAGCATATTCTTTCAGTCCCAGTCAAGATCGGATCAGAGGAGACGGGACTTAAGCGCTGGCACTCGTGCTTATTGTCTTTTGGCGTACGCTGAAATATCGTTGGCTTAATCTTATCGGATTTAGTTAAACACCGTAGGCATGTGTGCATATAAGCCACGTAGTATAATTTGAGTGTACTAGTAGTTATATTATTTACGGTTGTGATTTGCCACAGCCATGCAAAACAAATACGAATATGGAAACCTTCGTACGCCAGTAAAATGTTTCTGCGATAAAATAACGTCAAGGAGGAGCAAAACTTTACCTAATGAACGAAATAATTGACTCGGACAAACTAGTTTTAACACATCTTTCTTTTTGTATTAAAATGTGTTTCCCTGAACTTCCCTCGAAGCTACAAAAATATATTTGTGTTGTAAGTGAAACATATCGCATCCGACGTAAGTGGATTCGTCGTAGTAAGGAGGGTGGGGTACTATTCAAGTAATCGGCTTCCTCCCCGGCATTCTTACTTGAAGCAATACTTTTTTGCAGACTAGTTGGTTCATACTTGAAAAATTGAATTGCTGCACAAACTTGAAGAAAAAAACAAGAGAGACAGGAAAGAGTGCAGACTGCACTCTTTCCTGTCTCTCTTGTTTTTTTCTTCAAGTTTGTGCAGCAATTCAATTTTTCAGGCATTCTTACCTTTGTGTTGGCAAATGTATGTATATGCGCGTGCACATACAATCACACGTAACGGGAAGTCATACCCGCCTCCTTTCTGGAACAAAAAAAAAATGTTTGCCTCCACCCCTTTCCATCCGCATTTGCGACATTCCCATTCTAAAGCGTCACTGATCAATGCCTTGGTAAAGAACTTAAATTGTTCACGAGATGTTGCACTCTCATCGTTCTAATATACTATATAGCAATTCTAATAAAGACAGCTTGTGCGTTAATTAACGCGTTTGAAGTTTCATCGCCATACAGTTGACATTGAAACTTTATTTCCAACATTTGCGATGCTGACTGGGGTCAGAGGCGTGGGCAGAAATTTTTTGCTGTGTGAGCGGGGCGGAGCACCATTTCGTTTCGGAGTAGCAGAGACAGGTGTGGTCAAGTACGGGCTATGTGAGGCATCGAAAAATAATAGAGGGGGTGGGGGGAGGCACGGGCTCATAGTGCCACACCCTGGCTGCACCAATTATCAACGTTTATAGAACCTGTTCTATAAACGTTCTGTAAACGTTGCCAATGACTGGGGTCCAAAGCCTCTAATGGGCTAGTTTGACCGGGAGCACAACCCTGTACGAATGGGAAACATAGACAACATGTTTATTGCAATGAAAATGTGTAGATAAGCAAGCAATATTTGCGAAATTTTCTAAAGATCTGTCGCAGTATCTGCTTTACCACACTAAACTATGTGCTATTTTCTGTGACCATAAGATGCCACATGGTGTCCGGTTGCAGATATTGAGGCTAAAAGAAGGAATCTATCTAGATTCGTTGTTTTAGCTTCGCTTTCCTGGCGTACGAAACGAGAGCTTGAAATCTATAGGAAGGTAAGACGGAGCACCAGCGAAAGAAAATGAAAAGAAAAAATGCAGATCCCACGTATAGTGAGAATCGATGACATGCGAAGAACGAATGAGGAAGGTTAATATGACACTTCAAAATCACCACAACGTTACGAGGCGCATGGATGTAGCACACAGTAAGTACAAGTGGAAACATGCGCACTCAGGTACCTGGTAAGATGCAAATATGTTGTTTATAGTCGCATAGGCGGCACCACTAACGTTTGCAATACCAACCCCAGCAGTGGTAGACATGTAAATTATGCTGTACATGACTTTCATGTCATGATTATCATGTTAGCACCAGCCATATACCTTCGTCATCTACTCACGTCAAGTAACACCATATTTTGTAAATGTGAAGCTAGCGAAAGGGCCGCGAGAGCGCTATGAGCTTAGCATGTAGTCATGTTTTTACATGACACGCATGTCATGATTACCATGTTAGTACGTGTCATTTCCTTCGTCGCCCGTTCGCGTCACGTACGTAATACTAAATGTGGTATAAAGAAAACGGCCGTGAGCGCACCATGAGCGTGGCATGTAGTCATGTTCTACATGACACGCATGTCATCATTATCATGTTTTGATGTGCTATTTACTTTCGTCATCCATCCCCGTAACGTAATACCAAATTTGGTATGTGAGTCCTTTTTCTGGTTAACCTCCCGGACTTTCCCTCATTTTATTCTCTCTCTCTGGTATAGGAGAAGCTAGCGAAACGGCCGCGAGCGCATCATGAGTGTGGCATGTAGGCATGCTCTTACATGGCACGTATGTCATGATTATCATGTTAAGACGTGGTATTTACTTTCATCATCCCTTCGCGTCTCGTAATAACAAATTTCGTATATGAGAAGCTAGCGAAACGGCCGCGAGTGCATCATGAGTGTGGCATGTAGTCATGTTCTTACATGACACGCTTGTCATGATTGTCATGTTTAGAAGTGGTATTTACTTTTATCATCCGTTCGCGTCTCATAATACCCGATTTGGTATATGAGAAGCTAGCGAAACGGCCGCGAGCGCATCATGAGCGTGGCATGTAGTCATGTTACATGACACGCATGTCATAATTACCATGTTTGAATGTGTCACTTAATTACCTTCTTCGTACATTCGTCTCTCGTACAGAATACCAAATTTGGTATATGTGAAGTTAGCGAAACGAGAACGAGTGCCCCATGAGTGTATGGCGTGTAGTGAGAACTTACATGACATGCATGTCATGAATTTCATGTTAGGGTCTGTCAATCATGCAGGGCATGCAGTCATGTCATACCATACCAGTTTTGCTATATGTCATGTGAACAAAACCACCGCAAGAGCTGGAAGACCATGAAATGTAATTTTGAAATGATTTTCATGTTATGACTAGTCAATTATACTCGTAATACCGTCATGATATTCAATACCAATATAGGTATCGATAACATTACTAAAACGGCCAGGAGAGCTAAAAGTCGTGGGTGGATAGATAGATAGATAGATAGATAGATAGATAGATAGATAGATAGATAGATAGATAGATAGATAGATAGATAGATAGATAGATAGATAGATAGATAGATAGATAGATAGATAGATAGATAGATAGATAGATAGATAGATAGATAGATAGATAGATAGATAGATAGATAGACACGCTCAAAGTCGCCGAAGTTCGCTAAGAGATGCTTCGCTATAAAAAAGAATGTCGTGTTACCATACGCTCACCAACTATCGCATGTTGAAGAATGTGGGATCGCGCGCCGTGGCATGAATGTTGTTCTCGCAGCCAAGAAGAAAGTTAGCAATGTCTGTGCAGCGGTGGCAAAACGATCGGGAAAAGGCCTATTGTTGAGGTTGGTGTTCCATCAAGCACAGCTTTTGTACCATGCGCTATTTGCGTTGTATACAGCAGACCCTTCACGTTCGGAAGCGTTTACAATGGCCAGACGAGGCAATGTACGAACTCGCGATCGAGAAAGCATCACACTTTCCTGAATGTATAGGTAACGTTTGCTCGACGCACTTGGCAATCCACTGCCGAAATTGCGGGTGCAACGTGGAATTTTCCCGAAAGAGTAATCTTTGCTGCCATCGTGATCAGTTGACAGAACCATGGTTAAAAACACGGAGGAAGGAAAAAGGTAAGGAGAGGGCATGCCCAGCCCGCGCAGGGCGTAAAAAATGTAGCGGAAATGACATCATGGCGGCCATATTCACTAGGTACAATGGCGGCGTTGCTATGGTTACGTGTTGCGCAGTGGAGCTAGTCTAGAAGTGAGCGGCCACGGCTGGCAGCGGAATGTGTGCCTCCCCAGGTCTCGTGCTGAGCCGTGGCGGACAATAGAGAGTTTTAGTACTGCGGAATGGTGCTACGTACGCGTCACGCAAGCGCTTTGCGTTACGTGGCGTCGTTTGTCACTAATCGGCTTTTAGTACGCCGTAGTACCCGCGTACGTAACGAGCGAGAAGCGTGTTGCGCCATCTGGTAGATCAAAATAGAAGCACGTATTGTTGACAGCCAATGTGAGCCAATACAAGTGTTATAGCCAGATTATGGCCATATTTTAAGCCACAGAGCACATCGGTGCTTGCCTTCGATGCCGCCATTTTGTAAAAAGAAGTCTCGCGCTGTCACGAACTTGTTCGAGAGCGGCGCGATCACCTCATACGTACGCACGCACGCATCTCATGCGTGCGTACGTAGCGGCTGCGTACGTAATGCGATACGTGCGCGTTGCGGTCTGCGCAAGCGCACTACGCAGAACGTGGCGTCCTTACGTACGCAACGCCGCCACGTACGCAGCGTACGCAGTACTAAAACTCTCTATTATCTGTGCTCTGCGCCGCGTTGTTGGTTACGCAGTGTTCTCCTGGCTGTTAGATTACTCTTAGCAACGTTTACAAATCCCTTTGTCCATCACGGGGTTTCAACAGGGTGTAGAACAAGTGCATATCCATGTGTCATGCGGCGGACGACGCGGATGAAGCAGTTAGTGTTCAGCGAAATTGCGTTGGGCACCATGACGAAGCTGAATGACGACGAACGCCTTGCAGGTCAGTGACGGTTGAGCAGTGCTCCTGCTTGTGACAACGGACGACGCTGTTGAGCCCAGCAAGACACCGTGAGGACCATGTGCACATACGTAGTTTCGTGTTGTGTGTGTACAGTAACAACTT